AGTTCTTCTTCTTCTTCTTCTCAGTCCACCATCTCTTCTCTCCCTCTCACTTCTGACTTCACTGCATCTGCAGACTATGAGAGAAGAGATACAGAGCTTGGTGACATTGGATCCAGACTCGACTTTCGAGGGTTCAGACATGGCAACGAGGGACTATTTGGGATTGGTGACCAAGACTTGGTGTTAACGACATTCCCATCTTCTTCCCTCCTTTCGTCTGTTCCTTATCTCTTCGTCTGTGTATGTCTGGACCTGGCGCTTTCTTCCTGTGTACAGCGCCAGGCTCCCTCGCACTTCGTGATGGGTACAATGCATGTTTAGTCTGAAACATTGATTGGGTTAGTTAGAGGTACTCTAGCATTCTGCTTCGTTACTCTGAACTACGTGAATGAGGTCAGTCCTGTCAGATCAGTCTTGTATCAAAGTCTTCCCTGCGCTCTTACATTGCTTGTCGAAGTTCTACTCATACCGCATTGTCAATTCAGTCCTTTTCATCACATTGCAGATTCTCGGTTTATTACGTACATGGCATATCTGTGCATGTAACATTTGGCCAGGATCTTGTACGGAAGGGTGGGTAGTGATATTGGCCTATAATTACGTATATCCTCTCGGTCTCCTTTTTTGTATAGTAGGGTCACTACACTGCTGCTTAGCATTTCTCCCATACCTCCCTTTTCCCAACTGTCTTTGTAAAAGTGGAGGAGATCGCTGCCCAACAGTGGCCAGAATTGTTCCCAGAACTCCTTGGTTAGGCCGTCCAACTATGGTGACTTGTCGTTGTTCATGCTTTGGACCGCAAGCTTCAATTCATCCAAAGTGATAGGTTTGTCTAGCACCGCTGATTGTTCCGTTGAGATTGTTTTGTCAAGGAATTGTAGCATTCTGGATCTCGCCTCTCTTACGGCCGTGGAGGGGGGGGGTACAGTTTTTGTCTGATATAACTCCTGATAGAATCCCTTGGCTATTTCCACTATGCCCTCGCTATCTGTCCTTATGTGTTGTTCGTTTGTGAGTTCTTTGAGTCCTTCAATTGCGTTTGACCTTTTGTTAGCTTTTATTCTCTCGAAGAAGTGTTTGGTCATTGATTCATTCAATTCGTACTCCATCATTCTTGCTCTAATCTGTAGTCCTCTCAGTTCCCATTGTCTCCATATTGCCAGTTCTTCCCTCGCTTTTTCAAACGTGTTTGAATAGAGGGTGGAGGCGGGGTCGACTGCTAACTTGGCTTCGGCGATCTTTAGTGCCATCTCTTGGGATTGCTTTCTCATCCTTCGGTCGTTGGCTAGTTTCCTTGAAATGCACGCTGATGATTGTGCCAGCGAGAGGTAGCTATCTTGGAACCATTCCCATCTGTCTTGTCCTCTAGGAATGAGCCCTTCGAGTTTTGCCAGCACTCCCGTATTAAGAGGAGAGAATTATTCAGTTTGAGAAAGCTGGCTCCTTTCATAATGTATTGATAAAAACTGAAGGATTAACTCAATGGGTTTGTGGTCTAGTCCTGTATATGGGGCAAGTCCCAGAATGTCAGCCTCCTTGATGGTGCCCATCAGATGTTCAGAGGCGAGGAAAAAGTCGATCCGAGAAAAGGCCGTGTGGTGAGCATGGTTCTTCTTTATCAATGAATAGGCCCTTTTGCCTGGATGTAGTGTACGGAAAGGGTCTACCAAACTATGGTCCATCATAAGTTTCAGCACCGGTGTCGCTTCTTGGGACGCATGGGATGCTGTGGTTCGTGAGATTCTGTCGTTGTTAGGATCGAGAGCCGCGTTCCAATCTCCCGCTATTATGCAGGCAGTTAGAGGTGTCACTAGCGTCCCTATTGATGGTATGAATTCTAACCTCTCTGCTGGATTGTTTGGTGCGTAAATGTTAATAATTCTGAGTTCTTCTTCTTTCCATTTCAGATCCATCAGGCACCATCTTCCTGCTTCGCTGTCCTCTTGCTTCTCTTGCACCGCCCCTGCTGTGTAAAATCTTGACGATTTTGGTATTAGGATAGCTGTGCCTTTTGTGCTTGAGTCGTTGTCTGATGCCCATACCTGGTCATTGACCCCCCCTAGCTTCTTTATGAAGAAATCTTTTTATGGTCCTCTGAGTTGGTTAGGTGTGTTTCTTGTAGGAGAATGATATCCGCTAGTTTATTTGATTCATCTTTGAGTCCTTTGATTATGTCATTGAGTTTGTATTATTTAGTGAGGATGTTACCTAGCCCGTTGACGTTCCAGCATCGAACCATGATTCCTTGTGTCCTCCAGTTTACCTTACGTCCTCTCTCGTTGGCCTCTTTTCTCAGCAAGTCCATGGAAATTTTGATTTTTAAAAAGTTGAAAAAAAAAAAAAAAAAAGCTGTACAGTATTGCAATACAAACAACTTTTGCCTGAGGTGTGGTGTCGAAATTCGCAACCAAATTCGAGAAAAAAGTAAAAACGAGGATAAAAATATTCTTTTAGGGCCCGAACATCCTGTTTTCTGATTTCTTTAGAATTTTGACTTTTCAAATCCGCGAAAAAAAATAAAAATGAGGATGAAAATATTATTTTATGGCCGGGATTTTTTTTTGGGGGGGGAGACCATTTCTCGATTTACGTGTGTCATCCTTGAGCAGGGGCCATGCTAATCTTCTTTCTCTCTATCGTTCCAATTTTAACAGATGTCCCCAAGGACACGGCCGTGACATTTTGTTTTCTGATTTCTTTAGAGAATTTCGAATTTTCAAAAAAATCCAAAAAAAAAAAACAAAAAAAAACAAACTATGTTGTACAAAAGTGCAATACAAACAACTTTTGCCTGAGGGTCTTGGCAAAATCCCCGACCAAATTCGAGAAAATGACGGTAGACAGTCGGTGGACCTATGGGCTCCTGGAAAGTTATGCCCTAAAACTCGTCATATAACGTACGTATGTCGTATTCGAATACAACGTACCCCGTACATTGTATTCATATACAACGTACGTCCGTTTTTTTTCGGGTTAAGACAGTAGTGAAAACCACCAGCACACCCAGTTGTGGTGGCACCTCACACTGCGCGCCAAGCTTTGCCGAACTGCTGGCAGGGTGCACATTTTTTCGTTTTTGCCTGGCGCTGCCAGCCGTTGTTGTCCGGTAGCCGCGAGCCTCCAAAAGTTTCGTCGTAGGCGACGACACATTTTTCCACGAGGCTGGGGCCGTGTACTGGCGGTTTAAAGCATGAGAACTTACGTCAACTTCTTCAATGTTATGTACTTCAGCAAAACTTCAGCAAAACTTTGGGCATTAGTCTTTTTAAGTTTTATAGTTTAAACTCTTTTTCCTAGACACCCCAGGTTGGGGGGTCTTTTCTAGACACCCTACTTGGGGGGTCGACAAAGAGTCAGAGCACCACTGCTCCTCGGGCAGTGATGATAGATTTCTTGATCAGGTGACAGGAAGAGACACACGACTCTCCTCATCATCGCTCTCACTCTTTCCCATCTAGATGCCGTATGCGGAAACGGATCTTGATGATTTGCTTTACAGACATGAACTAACAATCACAGTTCCAATTTCCAAAAGAGTAGGATATTTAACAAGATCAAATGCAGAGGGCGGACAGGGGTGCGGGGCCGTGCTCATCTCTCTCCCCTTCTATCTCAACTATTGGTCTATGCTTGCCGGCGATAAGCAACCCTACTGCCGGCCCCCAGAATACATTTGCTAAAAGTATAATTGGAAGTTGGAACTAAAAGAGGATCACTTCAGTTGAGGTCGAAGCTTGCTCGAAGAAGTTGAATTCTACTTCCTAGATGGTGAAAAGTCCAGAAGTTGAGAGCAACACTACCTGCTTCCCCCGAATAGAACGTCCAGTCGAAATAGCTGCATTTGGCCCAACTTTCAGTCCAGATGCAGCAATAATGACCGGGCGTTCTATTCGGGTCGAGACAGTAGCTTTAGCTGTAAACCAAAGTCGCCTGGCACACGGGAAATCCTGTGTGATTTTGCCCCTCCAGTTCCATACGACTCAATTTTATCAGGTGGAGCTAGACAAAGAGAGCAGAGGGCCTTGAGAAATTGCTGTTTCTTTCGTGCATTGGGTGGGCTGCCTTCTTCCCCCGAGTACAACGTACGGTCATTATACCTGCATGTAGACTCAATGATACCCCAAATGCAGCTATAATGACCATACATTGTATTCAAGGGAAGGAAGATAGTTTTCTTCTTGTTTGCGTCAGTTCCTTTCACTTGTTCTTTATTTTCCCCTTCACTTCCTCATAACCTTTTCAGTATTTTCACGGCCTTGTGGTCTTTCATCATGCTCTGTACATCTGGCCCCACCTGATCCGTTACGGGTTAAGAAAGTACCCATGGTCAAATGGCCCGGGCTAGGAAGCCAAGCGTCTGAAGTAGCCATTGTTACATAGAAGCTAGAAGATTGCTCACCATACTGAATGAACCTGTTCCCCAAGGCAGAAGGGCACATTGATAGAGGAACAGATGAACAGATGGATGTATCGAAAGATGGACGGATGGAAAGGTGGACTGGACAGCAAAGAGATGCATCGACGAAGGGAGGCATGGAGAGAGAGAGAGAGAGAGAGAGAGAGAGAGAGAGAGAGAGAGAGAGAGAGAGAGAGAGAGAGAGAGAGAGAGAGAGAGAGAGAGA